TTTTCGACGCTACGGTGACATTAGCAAGATATATTTATAATACGTCATACGCGCGATTTAATTAACTCAGCACGCAGACCAAAATAAATTACTTGAAGCTTGATATAACGCGCTAATTAAAACTATTAGTAATTTATACTAATTAGAAATATCTAGATTATCAAGCTGTCGCGCATTTAAGTTCCATTAATAAAGTCGATATAAAGAGCGTAATAAGCCGATGTCAGTCTTCTTGATCGCGTTTATGTAGAGTACATAAAATATTTCCGACTTTGTCTCTGCATGTGTATCAAAATACTCTATTATAATTTTATGAGAGATCTAATAAAAATAAATTGTATGTTTAATCACCGTTTAATATAAACAAAAATATTGAGAGACTTGACTCGACTGACAAATCATGCGAATTGATAACTAATTTCTTATAAATTACAGTCATGACCTTGCAGAAAATGTTAGATTTTTGTGTCTATATTAATAATGTACCTATAATAATAAACCTATAATATGTAAATTCTGAAGGATGAATGTTGATTACGAATAAAAGAGATTATTAAAGCAGCTTTGAATCAGTATGATTCTATCTTAAATAATTATGTAGTTTATCTTTTCATTATCTATCTCTGCATATACATATATATATATGTACTCTGCATATACACATATATATATATATATATGTAAATTTGATAATAGAAGTAATTTTTATTTTATCAATAAAGAAATTATTTATAGTATTTATTTTTCAAACAATATTAACGTAAAAGTAATATAGAGAAATATTGACGTAAATTTTAATTTTTAATTATAAAAGAAAATGCGTATAAGGGCTATGAAAATTATTATGTATATTATTATAGTCGATTGGTATGTAATGTCATGAGCAAGTGATTGAAATGTCAGCAGTAGTAAAGAGGTAATTAAATGTTTTATTTGTATCGAAGGAAAGAAATACATACGTTTAATCAGTTATTTTTTATTATAACAATTATGCGAAAATATAAATCATAT